TCGAAACACATGTAGGTACCAAACAAAAAGATAACCTCATTTGTTCAGAATCATTATTATGTCAAGTTTGTAGTTAAACGAAAGAAAGTGAAAGTATCAATTTCATTATAAATCAAACTCAAACTTTCAAAAGATATCTCTGTTTAGGGAATGCAGTAAGTGTTTTAAAAATAAGTAAACTACATTTTCTAAATTAAGATCTAATTCGAATCCCAGAATGAAATAATTGGAGAAAATGTCCAACTATTCCTTCCTAAAGTTTCCATTAGAAAAATGCAGAAGCAGAAGCTATAGAAAAAACAAAGTTTTTTTATTAGTATTTGAAGCAGCAACATTTACTTATATAATGGATCAGTTTAAAACTGTAGCCTTCGTTATCAATATAATTCGACGACCTCCGTGGCCGAGTGATTTGTACGCCTGGTTTCATGGTATCGCCGACTCGAGAGGTCCTGGGTTCAAATCCCGGTGGGGGCAGATGTTTGTGTGATGAATACGAGCATTTGTACTCATGTCGATCGTCCTATCCTCCCTCACCTAAGTTCACCGCCCGCTCGCTGGTCGCTCACTGGGCCTCCCATATGGGTCTTACCCGGTGGGCTTGACCGCGCCGGGTGCGTGAAGAGTGAGGAGGACGGACCCCGAGGACCACTCCGTCCGGATGACGGAGCGCGAACCCGCAAAGACTGAAATGGATCAACCGGTCCAGAAAAATTTCCCCGCACACCGTTTCATCACAGTCATGGGTGTTTAATATGTATATATATATATATATATACAGTATATGTATTGTATCCGTTACCCTAGTATCCCATAACACTTGCCTTATAGTGCTTACTTTGGGGCTAGGCTAATTGATGTGAGTGTTGGAAATATATATATAAAACTGACATAATTTTATTAACAGAATAGTGAGGTCATCAGGCACTGCACAGCACCGAAACGAGTATTATAATATATTATATAGCCTAGGTTCTAGTTTTCCTCAACGTACTAGTGGCATTGAAAAGGTTAAGTAGTTGCTATGTAAGAATACCGACTGCTACCGATTAAAAACAAAAACAATTCTAAACTGATAAAAGACTGAGAAATTCATAGTAATATCGAAGTAATTGAGGTTTGAAAACATATACTTACCTTATATCTATACTAAATTCTAAAGTTTGTTTGTAGGAACAAAGGAACTTCTAGAACTAGTGAGCCAATTTCGAAATTTCACTAGTAGAAGGCTTCATAATAATATAATAGTGTTGAATGACATTTTATTTGCTGTTAAAATAAAAATCACCCGTATTAAATACGGACACATATATGTACCGCTTCAATTATACTTGAAGATTAACAGTCTCTTGAATAAATTATGATCTATTTTAATCTTAACAGTGGCCTTAGAGTCACTCGGCATCCAAACAGCAACGTCTCGTTTATGCAGTGAACGAGCAAAATTATTTATATGCACTTCTATAGAGTCCAGCAACTCCATGCTCGCGAGTTTATCACACGCGAAGTCCGAGAGACGTACTCAGTTACAACCTCACATCACAACCCGCTGCTCAGATGGTTGTCTTTCCTTTTTGTTCAGTCTCACTTAGTCCTAGAGAACCACGCGGTCTCACTTCATCATCATCATCAGCCTATTAATGTCCCCATTGCTGGGGCACAGGCCTTCCCTATGGATGGAATAGGGAGATTGGGCCATGACCCACCACGCGGGCCCAGTGCGGATTGGCGAGGTGCTAACGACTGCAGATGCAGCCGGGACCAACGGCTTAACGTGCCTTCCGAAGCACGGAGGAACTCGAGATAGTAAATTTTTGGTCACCCATGCAATGACCGACCACTGCGAAAGTTGCTTCAACAATCGCAGCCGAACGCGCTAACCACTTGCGCCATCGAGCTTCTCCGATCGAGGTCCCACTTAGTTCTAGATAACCATTCGTTGAAGTCCATATGATGTTCATTCATTGTATCAAAGATCGTGGCGGATATCGTGGCGTTCATGTGCAGATAACAATTGGGTCCGTAATGGCGGTGATGGTTAGACACCGGGAGGCTTTATTGAGTGATCTTTATCTTGCCGAACTCAAAAATCCGCAGCGCCTAACCTCTCTAAGATAAATAGAGTAGAGAAAATATCCAATAAGCAAGATAGTAAATGTATAACAAAAGACGTTTGCATAGCTTAAAGTAGAGCTTATGTTAAGTAAATCTTGGGATGTTAAAAGGTTCTTCGAATTTCGTAAGCTACGCATAAGTCATAGGCAGAGATTATTAATTTTATTTATGCATGGTATATAAAGTGGTAAGATTTTCTTTTATTTATTTTACTTACATCATTTGGAAAAGCTTTCTTCGTGTTGAATTTGTCCTATGTTATTCGGGAATAGAAGTGAAATCGAAATACGAAAAATCTAACAGTGCCCGTCTTGTGAGGCACCAGCAGTTGACATACGTTTGCCTGATCGAGATGTTATAATATCTTTTTTATATATTGACATACGTTGGGTCCCCGAAACACAAAATTCTAGTAAACAAGAAAAAAGCTAAAGTGACCTAAATAACATTCAAAGAAGGAGAATAAAAGGGATTGACTAGAAAATTTTTAGTATTGTTTTCGTTATCGTAACTTCTAATCAAAGAAATCAAAATCAATATTCATTTCTTCAGTTTAGGCTTTTACAAGGACATGTAAAAATCGAAAGCTACGCCATCGGTTCGCAAATCTACGGCGGGAGACCTTGAACTGAGAAGAACCGGCAAGAAACTCAGCAAGGGTTGCTATTTTCTCCCTGTATTATTTCATACAGTGTCATCAAATTGAAAGTTGGCATCAAACTTTAAACATGTATTGAGGTCACCTTCCATCACATAATGTAGAAAAGGTAACAATAAATATACAACAACCCCGAAATATCCAGTGAACAATTTTAGAAATACATGAGCAAGTTTAAAAAAGACACTAAGTCCAAGGTTCACTTCAATTCTCCTCAAGAGGAGACCTCAAATTTGGACTTAAGTAAGTATGTATGTAAGTATAACATAACTTTGAAAAAAATATGAAGGTAACAATTACGACCAGGCGGTTTTATCATTTAAATATTGTTTAACAAATTAATAAATGAAATAGTATAATAAATTTTCTTTTTATTAATATATTTTTTCTTTTTATTTTTATTATGCATCATACGGGAAAGCATAATTTTTCTTCTGTTATATGGAGGCTTTAGCAAAATACATTAATTTATATCGCTTTGGATGCAGCTATTTAAGATGTCCAATCGTTTTTCAGTATAAAAGTTTATCAAACGATTCAGCTGTGGTTTCAGTTAATATCTAGAGAGCTCAATGGTGGAGTGTACAGGACATAGTTTTTCTATTTATACCAGGGCACTCAGAAAAATTTTGCGAAAAAAAGTTTTTAAGTATAAGACACTGGCCACTTGTAATTATTTAAAAAAAAAATCGATTATTTAAAAGTAAAAATAGCACTGTTCGATTTTCAAATTTCCCTCCGCATTTTTCGAGAGCCTATTAAATTTTTCTTGTCTCATTATAAAATGGATCTGCATCGAGAACATTTTCGTGCTATGATTTTTACTGTTTTTTGTGAGGAGGAAGTTACGTTCCAGACGGGCACTTCTCTACTGATTTGCTTAAGTTTTACTATAAGTAATACATTTTGTAGCCGAACAATCAATTCGGCCTTTATTCTATTAGCAGCATTAGGCCGCTCAATAACGAGACAACGACAGCAGCGCTAGCGACGGTTTGGAGTCAGACGTACAAACAGTGCTCGTGAACAAGCTTACCCGGCAACGACCCGGGTAGAAATCGTGCCTAGTCCAGGCGAACAACCGGTCATCAACAAGCGCCCTCAGGGTACACATATTTGTCTAATAGTCTCATTTAATTTTTTTTAGTAATAAGCATTCATGACTTCTTTTGGGTATGATTTTTTTTGTTTATATCAAAAGACTTGTCTTGTTTTATAAAAATTTGGTTATAAATTGTTATACCCAAATTAGGTTATGAAAGCATGCTCCGTTTATGTCCAAAGATTACAAGTTGGCTACCACTAGTAAAAACTTTGTTAACAGTTTCTTACAAAAATAAAATCTTTTTTTTTACGATTTTTTACAGTACAAGTCTTTGGACATAAACGGAGCATGCAGACAAAATATTAACACAAAAACTTTCGTTAAAATGATTCATCATTATCATCATGACCAGCCTATGAACGTCCCCACTGCTGGGGCACAGGTCTTCCCTACGGATGGAACAGTGCGGATTGGTGGGTGCTAACGGCTGAAGTCTGATCAACTGCGTCCAACGGCCTTCCGAAGCACGGATGAACTCTAGATAATAAGTTTTTGGTAACTCATCTAAAGAATGACCATTGCAAAAGTTGCTTAGGTTCAACGATAGTTAGCTGATGCGTTATCGAGTTCCACGTTCCTAAAATTATTTCATCAATTTTATTTTTATTTGTAGTCTGATCAATATGTTTGGTCTCTAAAAATAGCGTAATAATATGTGTGCATATTTGGTGTTTATATATTCCTTTCATCAAGGCTAAAAGTATGTTTACATTTAACCAGCTCTACGAATGAACTTAAGATTTTTTTTTCTTGCTAACAGCTCAGTGCCTTAATGCTGCAACTTGATTCTCTTAAACACGTATTTATTAAGCACTTACACCATAAACATGTAACAACTTCAGTAATCTTTTTTGTGCCATTTATCGAGTAGGCTTTGAGCTTTGAGCACGGCATTTACGTCAATGTAATTTTTAAATTGACATTTGAGAACTATTTATATTGCAAAAAAAAAATATTCAATGCTATTTTGAATAGTGACTATTAAACGTGGTGACTATTCTATAATCATGTAATAACTTTTTTGACATACTGGTGTAATAACTATCATTACACGCTATTATATTGTGATGACTTAAGAGTATTCTGTAATTATTTTTAAATCCTTAATAGTAAACAATGTTCTTAAGTAGTCACGGAACAAGTTCCTAAGTATATTAGTGCATAGAACAGATTAACTACCACCAGTGGTTGTTATTCACTTCATAAGATAAAACGTGATGATGGTGTTTAAATCTATAGTCTTCTTCGCTCTGTGTATTTTGGGTGCAGTACATTCAGCTGGTAAGTGTTGTAAAAAGTCACTTTATATTTTGACAGTGGAAAGACAAAATCGCTTATACGCCCATTTGGTTGAAAATGAGTTATATATATCATTTCAATCAGATTTTTTTTTGCGTCGATCTGTTTATGTTTCTTGAAGATTTAAGTAAATTTTTGCAGCGAATATTTTTAAATATTCTTATTGTTCACAACGGTGAAGCGACATAAATTTTGGTGTTTTTTGAACCAAAGGTCAGTGGCGGTCTTAGGGGGTGGCGAACAGGGCAATCGCCCGGGGCCTCGCTCCTACAGGGGCCTCGCGCAGCAACCCAAGCAAATTTTAAAAATATAAAAAAAAAAAACTATTTTTTCAATGACACAAGATCGGCTTTCAGCCCTCGCTATTCTTTCAATCGAAAATGACGTAGCTTATTCGTTAGATTATTGTGCTTTAATTAAAGATTTTAGTCTTAGGAAAAGCCACAAACATCAATTTTAAAATTTATCATCTCTGTATTTGTTAATTTTGTGAATCTTTTAATGTAAAATATTTTAAAATTCAAATTTGATTTATTTGTATAATTTAAGCATTTTTCCTTAAACATGACAAATACCTAAACCAAACAACCAGACCTACTTTCGCATCTCATACTTTTCACGAAGGACAAAGGGCCTCGCAAAGACCTGCCGCCCGGAGCCTCGCAATGGGTAAGGCCGCCTCTGCCAAAGGTGCTTAGGCCCCACTATTTGGCGTATGATTTGACATTTGCTTGACAAAAAATGTATGGCGGGCTGAGTGAGGACATCTAATTCATAAATTAAAGGCACTATGACACTTTTTAATAGGAGGATATTTAGAAAATATTATTTTATGAATATTTTTTTTATGGCGCTACTTCTCATTTATGAGTTATGATTTTTTTGTGTAAGAAAAAACTTTGATCCACTTTTCTGTAAAGTTACTAAAGTGGCGTTTAAGCGATTTTGCTTTTCCACTGTCGATATAGATTTCTTACCCGGAAATACTCACTTTAAAGGAGTTCAGGAAATAAGTTCTGGTTTCTATAAAAAGCTTGATTTAAATTACTTACCTATGAACACAGGCTAGTATTCATTTTCTATCAATATTAGATTATCCAATATTTAAAAAAAATGTGATTTCCGAGTTTCATAAAATTCATTTAGCAAACCTTGAGTCACTGGCATACATATTTAAGTACCTAAGTTAGAAGTCATGCTATTATGGTATAAAAACTGCTAATGATTTAGTGCAATTTAATGTTGTCGATTTCGTTTTTGACTCTTATTCTTACTTCTTATACTTTCATCAAAATAATGAGAACCCATCGGACATAATTTTCTTTCCCTGATCCATTAATAAATAAACCTTTTCCTTGGATCTAGCAGGGTTGGTTATAGATGTCATGAGCTTTTATGTGGAGACCTTGGGGAATTGAGTTCCAGTGATCTCTATATTTAAACGGTAATATAGTGCAATTTAATGTCCTATATGTTAATGAACGTCAATTTATGAGTAGTATATTTTTACATCAAGGTATTAGTTGAAAAATACTAGATTGTTTATATAATAATAATAATAACCTTTATTTCTCAGCATAATCACAATTTTCACAATTAAATTTAAAATTAATGGCTAAATAAAAACAATGACATAACAATATGCTATTTTTTAACCAAAAAAAAGGTACGTATTGATCAAATTTTGGTGGGTATATTAATATAATATAATTCAAGTAAGAGATAGGTAAGATTGTAAATGCAGAGGTAATTGGATAAGCGAACACAATCCAATTAATGCGACTGAGAGATGTTACGCCATCTTTTGTTTTCTGATAAATAATCTGACAGTTATTCAGTTTCTGCACTTGGCACAACATAGATTAATGCGAATGAGGCAGAAGATAATAATGTATTAAATTATATAGTCTATGTCAAATTATTGGTGTGCCTTAAAAATTTGCATATTCCTATTTCAAGGGACAAAAAGAAGCCTTTAACCGTCACCCGCATCTATTGATAAGGCATATATTTAAATGATAATAAAAATATTAATAATCCTCAAAAATACAATTGGTGACATAATCTAACTCAAAAAAATTTACCGTTAATGCCCAGCTTTAAAGGGATATTCCTTATGTTACACTGTGCCCCTTCTTACACTGTCTCCCACTTAAACTCAATGTGTCCAGTGCTGAAGGTGTCTATGATAAGATCCAGGCCCGCAAGATGAGGATTGTTCAGGTGGAACATTTATACGACACATCAGAAATACATCACCTTCATCATTACAACATTACATCTATGAATTCGCGCATGGAATTCGGAAATTGTAAAACTTTTAAGTTCAAAACAAACACATGCCAAGCTATAAAACAGAATTCGCATTCTAAATCTTTCTTAAGTATTACGCAAGAATCGGATCAGAAACATATATCTATACCTACATTTTCGTTTCTTACTCGCATGAAGGTGAATAGGATAACACCAATGGTATACATTACTTGGAACGAAATTTATTTTACGCCGTTCTTTCACACGGAATAAGCGTCACCTGTGGCTCTCTTTTCGTACCTTCCGAATATAACGAACGACGTAAGTTTGGAAATGCTATTCAGAGTTGTGAGACATTGTATTGAATTTCGAGTAGGTGAACATGCGACTTATTATTATAATTATAACGTATAAACATATATAATCTTAATGTATTTATATTAAAAGCATTAATCTATGTGATTAGTTAAAAAAAAAGGAACGAAGCACCTTTTCGGACAGTATGCCGAAAGTAAAAAACATTAAGATTTTTCCGACACAATCTTAGCGAGACAGCTTGCTAGGCAGCTGGGTGAGTAGCTAAATAGGCAGCTAGGTTGGAGATCACTGACAGTGGTGGCTGTAGACTTGGTTTAAAGCTTTGGACACTCCGTCTTCGTACACTTTTTAGTTACAAGTGACGTCACGAGAGCTCCTACTCCCAAAGTTTGACGCGCCTTATCTTTGTAATTGTTTGGTTGACCGACAAAAGAAAAAGTACGAGTCCATTATTTTTTGATAATGTAGGTAACTGACAGACTTAATAGAATTTCGTTTACTTTTCCCTGTCGTCATTCCTATTCTGTCTCGATGTCGTGTTTACTAAGTAAATGGTGCAGTGATCAAAGTGTATCCGTGTTTTTTTTTATTATCCTTGGTATTGTTGCGATTCCTCTTTTTAATAATCACTTAGTAATCCGATAAGATTGATAAATGAAATTGTTTAATAATAAAATATATTTGGGTACAAAGTCTGATCAAGTGAATATTTACATTATTCTTGATGTTTCGGAACATTTACTTACAGGGTCTGTGATCACATTTTACAAGAGCTATCAAAGTTAATACTCGCTCAGCGATGCTCGCTTGTCCGACAGAACATTTAACCTCCATGAACGAATGACGTGAGTAATCGCCCGTCGTACTCGCACACTCGCTTATAGCTCAACGACAAAACTATCAAAACTACACACTCGCTTCGATAATCAACTCGTTTCTAGTTTTTTAGCACTACTCGCTTGTCGTTGCTCGTCGGCGGTGGGACAAGTGACTAAAAAGCAACCAAGAACTTGTCGAGCCATGCGCTATGTAGGGTTCCATAGTTACATACTAGTGACCTATCTTCAGGTGACTTCAGAAGTATCTCTGAAGTAATTTTTCTTGACTCTGTGTATAATAATACAGGAAGATAAAAAACATCTCTTGCTGAGTTTCTTGCCGGTTCTTCTCAGTACAAGGTCTCCACCGTAGTTTTACGAACCGATGCTGTAGCTGCTCGATCTTCACAAGTACTTGTAACAGCCTAGACTTAATAAATTATTTGAGTTCTAGTTATCAAAAATCGTATATATCTATGTCAAATTTACAGAGACGTTTCTTATTTCATATACTTCCGAACAAAATCAACAATAATTTTCGATTACTTATTCTATTATGATTCTCCAATATTCATAAATATTAATATATTTGTTTATTATATTAAAAAGATACGAAAAATAAAAATATATTTTTTTAGTTACTACTTTTGTCCCAAGTCTTCAATTTATTATACCTGTTTCCTGTTCTGTCCTATGATATTAATATTGTATAGGTATCATGTACATTTATAGCCCATTTAATGACAAACATCGATTAAATTAATTAGCTTACAAGAAACGACCTTTATTCAATGTATCTTAATAAATTACAAAAGGCTATGGTTTTCAAGAATATTATGAAGAAATAATCCTTTACTGTTTATACGTTTATGTAGTTTATTTTTTTAACTTTAGTTAAAATAAAACAATAAAAGAGCGAGTGATTATTGGTAGCATCTCTCGTGGTAGCAATCTGGTAGCAGAACCGACTCATTTCCAGTAGCAGCATCCGTTAACGAGCATGATGTATGAATCAGCCATACAATTCACTCAACCATAATGTTAGGAAACAACATTTTTACAATCGATACCATTGCAGACTTTATAGAGAGCGCTACATACTATGGTACTTACATAATTACTAATGATAATTAAGGATAACAAATAAGAAATTATATTTTTAGTAGGTACTTTCAAGACTCAACTTCCGGTTAAAGATTGAGTTTTGAGGCCTATATATAACTGTAGAAATGTACTCGTCGACAATGCGTAGAAAAACAAACATTCAAAACAAAATCAAAATTCTTTAAATATTATATACAAAAAATATAATTTTATATTATACCCATGACTGGAGCGGCAAACTTTTCTGCTTAAAATTATCTGGACCTGACCACAAGTACCTACCACGTTGAGAATTGGAACCCTGTTCACTATGAGAACCACAAGAGCTAAAGGTTAACCAAAAGGTTACGTTATTTTACCGAGGATATCTGTAAGGTGTAGTTATTCCATTCTAATTCGAGCGAAAAATTGGGTGCACCCTGCACCCATTATTTTCTTCCGAGTCTAATTTCCACAACGAAATGTTTTGACTATTTTTTGCCATTAGGCCTATATTAAGTAATCCCATGTCAATCCATATGTTAAACCGTTAAACCAATGCACTGATTCTTGTCTAAATTTGGGCTGATAATAGTGAGAGAGAAGTGATTATGAGGCCAAGAATTTGTATAGGTGTTGAGGTTTTTAATTTTATGCAAATGTCGCTCAGTCCGGAATATGACGTTAACAAGAAACTTTGTGTTTTTGTAGTGTTGCCAATAGAAAAATGCAATCTGGAAGATTCGGCGTGTATGGTAGCATCTTTCCAAAAAGCTGTACCAGTGTTCATGGAAGGATTGCCCGACCTAGGTATTCAAGTACTCGACGTGTTGGAAATGGATCCAATCCAATTTGATCTTTCTGGCCTGCAGTTTAAATTGACTGACGGTCGACTGAAAGGATTGAAAGGAGCTATAATTGATAGTGTGAAGTGAGTATTTTTAACGCGATTAAATATAGCATCGTCGTTGTTAAACCGTTATCTACTATGTACAATTATTGGAGATTTCAAAATTTTCATCATTACAATTATTTCAATCATACAACTAAACGAATTTTTGAATACAAAGACAGCAATGCGAATTTTAGTAACGGTGTAACGGTGAAAGGGCACGTTGTGTATCAGCCAAAATATTTGCAAATATTAACTGCTATGTTTAAAATTCATATTCTTTGCACATACTTAGCAGAAATTGTATTTACAACAACCATATGTTACACAGATTTTTATATCTGTCCATTGACGAATAAAAACAAGTTTTCATTGTTTTATAAGAACTTGTTTTTTATGTAATTTGTTAGAAACATAAATCTTTATTAATATTATAAAGTATGGATAAGTTTTAGGAATAGATATATTAATTTCGTTATGAGTAAAAGCAAAATGAGTAAATGTCAAGAAAGTTGCTCTTAACGTGGAAAAGTTAACATATGCAGTCGAAACCTCAACAACACATATAACGAAATGCCTAACACCTTTTAAAGTTATAAGACGATAACGATAACTATTAATTTCAGATGGAATCCTAAGAAAAAGAAGATTGCCATCGAGTTCCACGCAAACAGCACTGTCAAAGGGCATTACACGGCAGGTGGCAGAATTTTAATTCTGCCTATAACTGGAGATGGCCAGATCACTATGAAGCTAAGTAAGTGATTATATTCCTAAAAAAATGATGTACTGTTGCATGTTAATTTGGAAACAAATATATAAAATGCCATGTTGTCACTTTATGATTGATAACATTTGTCACAGAAATTTAGTTCGACACGACATCCTTTGCATGTTTTCATGAAAAGGATGGTCGTGTCCTTTATGAACTACCCGACTTGACGTAAACTCTGATGTATTAATTTGATTGGTCTACAAAGGTTACAGATTAAGTAAGATACCTGATTATTTATGTTGCTAAGTGGAAAATAACACCAAACAAAAGGACGTGAATTTATCCACATCGATTTTCTGATATAGTACGTGGAAAAATGCGACGTCTCGGCCTTTTACAAAACAATAATAAAAAAAATTGAAAAAAGAATGGAACAGGGAACAGGTGTGATTTATTTTTTATTTGCGGGATCGTGATTCGTGCCAGCTTCACGGATGAATGTTTTACCTACCTGAGGTCGTACCATGAAATACTGATGCGACTCAATTTTGACTGGCTAAAAGAGACAATATTATAGAAGTATAGAGAAAGAGACATTTATGGTAAGGCCTTTGACATTCGAACTGATGCCAGATTCATATAAATGCTTGTGTTGTCATTCGAAGCCGGCGTTACGTTAATGGAGTAATATTAAAAGGGTAGTAGTAATGGTAATAAGAGCTTCGAAAAGTTTGTTAAAAAAAATCTTGTCCAAATTATGTTTTATTATCTTTATTTAGATTGCAAAAACTCGTGCGAATTCAAATTATGTAACTAGCAAATAATCTATTTACCTACATGCTATCAAGAATTTATGCATTATTTATATGCAGGTGAAGTTCATTTAGAATGTTTCCGTTGCAGAGCATATCGCAGTCAAAATCACAGTGGATTACGAGACCGAGCAAGATGGTGAAGGAAAAAACCACATTGTGCCAAAGAAACTTCACTTTGACTTCGAAGTAAAGGATGGAGCTCACTTCACCTTGACCAACTTATTCAATGGAAACAAGGAACTAAGTGAGTATCTATCTATAAATATATTATTATCACCTATTTAATTCTTAATGCACAATTGTACAATGGCGGACTTAATGCCGTAGGCATTCTCTACCAGTCAACCATAGGGTGTTATGGAGAAAATTAGTGGTAGGGTGCACATGTGAGGTGGAAATCACATTTAAAGCAGTAAACATAAATATTATAATAATATATGTTGATTAAATTACACAATAATTATATACATATTCTTAACATTCGGTAAGTAATTTATTGTATTTTTTATTTTCTCTGAAAAAAATATGTCCTTATGCTTCTTCCGCACCTGCACGACGAAGCATTGGGTGGTTTTGGTACTAAATGCGCTATAATTAGCGTCCAAAATTTTAATTCGTTTTGTCGTCGTAAATTATCGGGCTGCATGTATATAGACGCTAGATGATAGCTCGACTACGATACGGTATGATATTTGAAACGCATAAAACATGTTGTGGGACACGTTAAATTTGTATGTGCAGTGAAGGAGCGCACTTAATTCAAAGTTCGAACTCTAGTTTTAGCACATTTTAGTAACAAAGCTAAGTCACGCAGGTGTGGGATAAGCATTATAGCACTGTTGTCGTATTTAATGTTTCTAGTAAAAGTGAAAACTTTTTATTTTAACTATTTAATCGAATCTTGGTAATGCCGACGGCTTAAATAAAACACGTTGAAAACATAATATTTAATTAAAAAGAAGAAAAAAATAACTACCCCGGCAGTAAACAATTGTAAATTAATCCAAAATAATTTCATTCTTAGACAAATCGAGACTGCTATCAACAGTGATGACGACTTACTTTTTTTCTTCGTGTATCAGGTAGATTACCAAAAAGTATTGAACACGTATTTTTTCTTTTTTCACATAATCAAAACATTACAGAGATATATTGATTTGAAAAGTCGCATCGCACGTTTTGGTACAATTTGTACTTTAAAGTGACGTCACGAGCTACCTCTCCCAAACTTTGAAGCTCTTTATCTTTGTTATTTTTTGGTTGATTGACCAAAGAAAAAATACTTGTCCATTATTTTTTGATCAGCTAACTGACGGACTAAATAGAATTTTGTTCATTTACCCCGTCCTCACCCATATAAGTTTGGAACTTACACTTGATTTTTACTTTAAAATTTAATTTAGGCTTGCTTGTTAAAATGAAAATGGAGTTTGTGTAGACTGAGTGACATATAAACACACAGCTGCAACTACTGGGAATAGCATTGTAAAAATTCGCGAGCGAGCACTTAACGCTTTCAATAAAATATTACTACATGCGATCCCATGGGAATACGCGTAGTACGCAATCGCAGACAACTCCAGCTAGTTTCTCAACTCATATTGACAGATTCCAAGATGTTTTTTTTATGTTAAAAGAGTGGCAACAGGCGTATTGCCCGCCTGATTGTAAGCGGCCACCACAGACTATAGACGCTTGCTATACTAAAAAGTATCACTCGCTTCGTTGCCTTCTCTTGTTTTGTAATCATCCGGTGTCTCTAATCGAACCACTGCCTTTAATACAAGTCTTACCTAGCATGAATGTCAGGGGTCCTACTTATAAGATTATAAGATAGCAAATCATTACTAGTTTATTTTAAGATGTTATTGTAGTAGTACTTGTAAAAAAAAATGAAAAAAAAAATACTCTGACCCAATCCCCTACCCCGTAGAGCCCTGGATGGAACCTTACTCACCGACAGTTAAACAACATCACCAAAAGGTAGTGTTATTTTACTGTGATCTTCTGTATAAGGTGGAGGTTACTTCCTCTGACGGATGCTCCAATTCGAGCGGGAAAGCCGCTTAGCCCTACTTATCTTATGTAGACTTGGAAAAAGACACATGGCTCTGAAAACTACATAATCTTAATTAAATTACTAACAGCGTGGATGCTAAAATATGTATAATATCAAAGATCATAAAATCTTCAAAGAACCTGAGACACATTATTTATTTGCTTAAAATAAAAAATAATGGAATATAAATAAAATTCATTAGTTTCGAGCAACATAACTCATAATCATTTGTATAGAAATAGGTACATGTCACTAAAAATACCACTAATCATTTATTTAATTTAAAATTAATTCAAAACAGTAGTTATTTAATTTAATATAATAATTTTAAAAGTTAAGGTTAACAGATTAATTATATCACAAAGAAAAATATGTTAATAAATTCCATAATTTAGCATTCATTAATTTCCATCAAACAAAAATAATTAAAAGTCAAAAGTATTAGAATGTCATACATTATATGTATCCATAATCTTTCACAGATGAATACGAAATATTTTTCGGTAATTCGTAAGTCGTTCAATTTATTTAGGTGCATGCAGTTTAGTTCCGTATGGTATACAACTATGTATGTGTACATGCATAATTACATAGTTATATCAAAATATCGTCATTCTAATAATATTATAGGTAGGTATGTCTGATTCAAAAAATAAATCTTTTACCACTATAAAGGTACCTACGTATATAGAAACTTACACCTTAGTATCAGTAGCATTAATAATAACTGTACCTTGGATGCGGTAATAATCACTATTATGCATTGTATCACTTCTTATGTAAGATTTCCGTGAGATGAGATTTTTTTTTATAATTACTGCTATTTTATCACTAGACATGAGATCACTTACTAAGAATGTATTAAAATAATTGAACTAGAAATCTTTTTGCAATTTTATTATCTTTTTTAAATTATGTTTATTTTATTTTAAAATGCATTATTGGACGCGCGCAATTATTTTACAAGGTGTAGGTAGGTATGCGATTTTAAAATTATTACTTTGACGGAGACGGAGAAAGACAGTATTAAAAGTTCCTTTACAGTATAAAAAGACATTTTTTGTATGAATTTTGGTTGCCTTACATTCATTTAGTATCAATATGTAAATTGTCATGGTAGGTATGTAAAAGCACGTATATCCATATAGTAGGGGAGCCCAAGCGGGGATTTTTGGATTTACTTGAGCGCGGTAGAATAACATATGGGGAGCAACCTTGCACGTAGTTAAGTACTCCCACTATACCTGAGGCATCTATGTAGGGCCGAACTTCTAGGGCAGCAAAAACAAAATTTCCACAAATGACTTTTGATCGGGTTCAAATCGTCAGTTTTTTGAATAGGAGCAACTCCATAAACCAAAAATCCCCGATTAATCGATTTGGGTGGCATTTGGCACACAATTTATAAACATAATGAAGACAGAGGATACTTTATATCCTGAAACAATGATTAAGTGATAACAAAAATGAACTAACTGTACAACGGTTAGGTCTGCATTAGATTTTCTAGAAATTTCAATCACCATCAAAAGTGTACAAATCCATGCAAGATGAAAGGTAGACAAACGCAAATTGTAATAATTAATAATACTTACAACAAAGATCTCACATACATGCGTGCACAAACAGGAATTATTAACTATTCTTTTTGATAAATAAGAAACGCGGGAAAGGCACTCCCAATTTCTACCAGGAGATAATGACTTTCGAGGGGCAATCTTCCCGGGACAAAGTGGTCAAGATACGTGCGCTATACGATTATAGAGAGCGTATCTTGACCATTTTGTCCGACGTTATCGAATGTAGGTACAATCCCCATTGATCGCCAGCATCTCTTATTGCTCACTAATTACAGACGTGTCGATCTGAAAATGATTGGAAGAAATTAGACGAGAATTGTCTCTCAACGACTCCTCATTAAGAAGAAAATAACAACTGTAGTAATTAGTACGTAAATGCATTTGATTATTATGATAAAAAGTAATTACGTTATATAATGTGCGGTATGTTTGTAACTAATCATTTAATATTACTTAAATGCAAATTTATTTCTATTTGGTATCGTAAAAATACAAATGCTCAGATAGAAATACTTACAAATAATCCTTTTAGACAAGATTATGCATTTTCTAACATATAAGCTGCAAACTTGTATCACCCAAAGTGGCAACGGTAAGATAGGTATCCAAGTTCCAATATAATTAGAGCAATAATTAGTAAACTACGAGTACCTTATGCAGCCGTCTCCTTCCACAAGTACTCAATTAATTCCATAAATTAATGTAGGTCGACTACCTTGGTTTATATGGAATACATTTTGTGTGCAGGCAATGCTATTATGATGTTAGTTTATTGGTTTTAGAGTTGTATTTAAATAAAAATATGAATATTTATTATTTATGAAATCTCGTTGTTCTACTGGACTCTATGGCTCCATAACAGAGGTTCTTAATAAAACGGGATTACGACGGGCCGTCAAAGTTGTCATTTTTAGACCATTTTTTTATACGAGTAGCAACAAATTGCACACTCCACCTGATGTTAAGTGTAAGTGGAATCCAATCGCGAAGATACATGATGCGGCAGAAGGTGTGCCGCTCCAGCCATCCTCACCAAGCTGGCCTGAACCTAATTCCCTACCCCGTGGAACCCTGGAAACGAGAAGGGATCAGCAGAAACACAACACCATCAAAAGTTTGTTACGGGGTCTACTCTATCTCAAAATCAAAACTGTTAAAGAATGTGGAATTTTAGTATATGATGAAACCCCAATGAATAATGTACTTTGTAAGTTGTGACGAATATAATAAACAAATGATTTTTCCCTTCGCGGTTTGTTGCGATGTCTAACTCAGCCTAACTATTTCGTATGTCAGTGATATTAGGTAGCTTGAATGATAGGATAATATGGTAAAAAGCAATATGTTCATTGATATTTAGATTTAAATATCTAGCCAGCAGTTAAACGCTTAAAATAAATATAATAAATTAAGTGAACCTATTTGTTGGCAGGTGATGCAATGCATCTGTTCCTGAACGACAACTGGAAGCAAATATCGGCAGAGTTCGGCAGACCGATAATGGCTTCGGCGGCTAATTCGATATACAAAAACATTATTACGTTCTTCAAGAAGATGCCTATAGACGATATTTCCCTTTCATCTTAGATAATAAAGTCATTGTTTCCTAAAGGTCGAATAAAATATTTCATTGGCGTTAATCAAATTGAGTTGTTTTAACATCGGGGTTGTGACAACTCGAAGACAGGATGGTCTGTTAAGTTTATTTTATTTACAATAAAACATTATTTATTTTCACGTTTGTTTCATTTTTATTAATTATTTTTATAGTATGTGACATAATAATCACGTTAGGTTATTAATGTTGTTTTTTCTGACGAGGTTTTCTTATTTGTTGTGTTTTCTATAATATATTTTTTCAGTAGCGCATCGTTATTTATTAGCTTGCCATCTTTCCAATTGTCTAGTCTCCAGTCACGAAATACGAAGTCAGCAGCAGGGTTTTATTTTATATCGGCCGATGTAAAAATGCAAGTTTAATGGTTGTTTTTTTCAGACAGCTAGAGCACTTCGTTCCATCCAGTTTCTAGTAAATAAAGGTGAGAAGTATCCTTTTTTCTATAAAAATCGTGGTTAACTAGCAGACGAGCTATTTTGTATCACATCATCGCCTATAAACATGTGCGACACCAAAAATTCACCACCCATGCGTAGCTAACTTCTTAAAATACCTTTTCAAGAACTCCATATCGTAGCGCAAAAGGGAATACACCCGTTAGGATTATTAATAAAATCACAGATCTCGTGCTCTACACGATTTGAAAGGCATTGAAAATGAATCTACCTATTATATATATAAAAAAAACATATTTTTTTTCCAAGACCAAAATATTGGCGTGTTGCACTTTCGGTGAAAATCACTTTCGGGGGCCTACTGGAGCGAACTAAATAACATTTTCAATGTTAAAAAATACTTTTTAAATCTTCTATAAAAGACAAAACACCTGAAAGTCCTGCAATATTCAGTTATAGGCTAAGGCAAAATAACATTTACCTCAGTTACACAACGTATTCATGATAATTAAGCACAATCATGTTTCGGAAGTTACCCAGCTCGTATACAAAGAAACGCCGGCCGTGGGTACGCAGCATCGCTTCGGCTAGAACAAGGCTTTATTGTTGTATGTATGTACTGTACCAATTACCCACGTTAAAGAGTTAATTATCCGCTTCGGTGGTTCTTTCAATTCCCAACGAATGAGTGTGGACAGGCGTGCTATGATGTTTTAATATTATATCAGCCTATCAGGTCAAAGATCTGACTTGGTAACTATTCAGCAAAATAACAGAGTGGAGTTTTTCATATAGGTGTCAAATCACTGAATTTTATAATATTTGACACAGAATTATTCACGACCAAAATTACCCAAAGTTCTATCTGACAATATGTATTAAATGTATTATGGTCCGTACTCACATACGGTATTACTTGATAGTATTACTCTAAACTCTAAACCAAATAAAAATCAACGCTTTGCACACAGGTGAAATTACTCAAAAGTTGGCCAATACTACGTTAAGTGTGTTTATATTTTGCTGTAGTTGGTCTAAAATAATAGTTTGAATGTTCTTCAGAAAAATAAAAACTTTATTTATACTATGTTTAATTGATATATTTAATGTTTTGTCTTGAAATCGTTCCTCGTGGTAATTAGATTCAACAGTTAAGTAAAAAACTCAATAATTCTCTTCGACTATTTGGAATGCTATGCTGGGAACAGCCAGGAAAAATAGATATTAATATTTTTTTAAATCTTAAGCGTTGTTGAGTTCTGCTCCATTTTGTTTGGGTGACGCAGAGAGAGAAGCAGCTTATTTAAGTGGCAAATGAAAGCTATAGACGTGTTCTATCGAAATTTGTAAAAAAGTTGAATGAGTGAGATTGAGTATAAATTATTTCACTATGTAAAAAAATAGTAACTGCTTAAGTATAGCATTATATTCAAAACAATATATCTATACAACCGTAAGTAATAAAAGCGTTTAAGATATCCAGAAATAAATTGTTACCTGAAGGTATAGACTCCATTATGTTTACACCTAATATCAACTAAATAAAATTTTAACGGTGTTGATAAATAGCTATTCAAAATTGTAATAAATTACTCCATAAGCAAAACTGTTTAAATAGAGTGTTGTGGGTGTTTGAATAAAAAGTGGCATACGTTTGATAGATCATTAATAAATAGCGCCATATGTCTTGTTCCTAAATTAAGTTACAATTTTTAATCGGAGTAACTTTGTATTTGTCAATTTTGGCCATAAATTACGTTAAATTCACCTGTCTGCGTTGCGTCCTACAAACAGCTTTTGAGTTGTGAGTTTTGCGGTCCACAATGGGGACAACATTAGGCGAATGATGATAGGCACATATTCTCTGAGATTAAATCTTGTATAATGATCTTGTTATCTTCATTGACCTTAAGACCAGCTAGAGCTGCCAAATACCAGTTAGATCCCCTAGACTCTGTACAAAGACACTTGATCGGATTGTCGATAATCCCAAACTGGAAGAAAAGTTGGAGCCTTTGAATTGAATTTGCGCAGAGATTTTGGTTACCTGTGCGTATTCTACAGGCTCGTCCATGGTGAGTACTCCCAGGAATTCTTTCAATTGATACCCACGGCACCATTTTACTACTGGATTAGTCATAATCAGAGTCTAGTTCACTAATATAACCTCCAAACACTGACATCCACAACTGTTCGTTTCCAGAGATCTTTTTTGCCACTCACAATAGAGTTATGGAATGAGCTCCCCTCCACGGTGTTCCATCAGTGCTATATAGCATGTGCCATAGCATGGTCCTCTTCAAAGGATCAGGTTGCCTAAAAATAGTGTTCCACGAAAGGCAGTGGCATGGCTGTGTCACTGGAATTGCTGATGTTCATGGGCGACAGTGACCACTTAACATCAGGTGGCCCCTGATTCGAATGAATAAAAAAAGACAAAACTTAGGTTCCCATTTAAATAAGTATCGCCATATATCTTAAGGCACATGCTTAGTTTATTTTAAATAAGCTTCTTTCTTTTATTCTATATTTACCTTTCTAGCCTACAAATATCACATTTGCAAACAGCCGTTTGCGGTAAGTGTAATTTCAGGTGGCGATATTTCATATAACGTAGATCCGTCGTGGTCCGGATGTTGCGGATGCGTGACAGATGTCACAAACACACAGATGTGTCTTCGTACATGGTTTGAGTTTTTGTATTCCTAATTTTGTATCTTGAAGAGTCTCGACGGCAGAATAAAAGATTTATGAGCAAAAATATAAACAAGCTAAAATTATAAATGCCTTTTTGTCATGTTATTTTCTACTTTAAGAAGGAATAATTTAATACTTTCATTAAAATTATCGCGATTATTTTAGTAGCAAAAAATACTCTGAGTAAATAACAAAGGAGATTGCTCAAATTGGCCCAAATGCAAAGGCCAAAATATTGGTATATACGGTAATTCTTGGCGTAATTTATACTTTATTTTACAGTAATAAAATAATATATTAATTTTAAAAAGGACTTTTAATTTTAACGATTTGGAAAACATTCGAAGCATTTTTAATGGCTATGGGTGTAGTAACATTCAGCTAAAGACTGATCGAAGTTGTTTATATAACATCAAAACAAATCTATTTTGTAAAGTTCGATAAATTATTTTTTATTACACTGTGGTATGAATACTCGCAACTATATTATCATTTTTACTACATGCAAATGTGCTAAGACAAATATTATAGATGGTAAGCGACATCATAAAGTCTATTGCCATACATTTTTCGCCAAACACCTCCATAAACACGTTATAAGGTGTGATACACTAAAAATCTAAAATACGGTAATAATATAAAAATAATGAAGCTTAACTAACTAAATTAACGAGAGTTTAAAAAATCTCTCTAATTTGTGGTTCATTCACAAATATCACACAGTTTCTGTCACAGAGTACCTTATTATAACCGGAAATGCATAGATGACACCTGATTTTAAAAGTAACTCATATGCATAAACATTAAAAACAGGCAAATATCTATTAATCTACATGCTTTATATACCTGAATCTAATACATAATTTCGGTACTTGGTTTCATTTCCCTAGTTTCCTATATAAGTTATTTGCTTTTTATTATTTTAATACCTATGTACCTATTTGGAAACATAACTTCAAAATCATTCAGTGTATATGGTTTATAGAAGTTCTCAGGGGTGTCCGTCAATAATATTCGTTTCTACATTAATTTATATATAATTTAGAATTAAGGAAACAATTTTTCATGATTATTGGTCTTTAGGCCAAACATGTATGGAACCTCCTCCTTTAATATAGCATTTTGTATGGGAATCTTCCTACATATAGTTTCCATACTAATATTATATTTATTTAAGCATTTAACTGCTAGATGTTTAAATCTAAAGAAAAGTTTACTAGTAAAAATAATGATAAAAAGATTGTTAATTCAAATAAGGCATAATCGTGTTTAACTCATCATTCTTCATTTGTCAATTGCTTAAAGTTAAATAGAGATAGAATGAGGCTTCAACATGATTAGCTTTTAAATTTGATTTAAGAATTTTGGTGAAAGAGGGCCTTAGTTCCCTTTTGTCACGGAAATAAAACTTTAATTGGAATAGAATTACTTATAGTCCAGGAAATGAAGCATTTTGGCTCGAAATTTTTTCGTCCACCATGGATTTACTTGAAATTTTCACAAAAGGTAGGGAACACCTCAAGGATCATTTTCTATATCATGCCGCTGTACGCTGGAGCCTGGAAATTTTTTATTACATTTTAGCTGTACGAATCGGCGGAAAAAGTAATTCTAAGAAAAAAAATGTTCGTACGTTTTTTTCGTAAAGTAATATTTTTTGAGTTATTCAAAGTTGAAAGTAACAGATTTTTGACGAAAGTATCGACTTTTTGAAATGTTTTTTTGCGAATAACTCTAAAAATATGCGTTTCATCAAAAAAAGTGTAGAGAGTCAAATTGTAGCTTTTAAAAAAACAATGCGTTCTTTATTACTTTTCTAAGACAAATATGAACTAAGTAATACAGTAAATTAATGGTTAGCTTTTTTCGTCAAATGCATAAATTGGAAGAATTACAGCGTAATAACGAGAAAAATTTGCATTATTCGAAGAAAGCTCTTAGAACTATTAAATTGAAAATGAAATTTAATTAGAACTTTCAA